TTGAGCAACTCATGACTCTGCCGATGGGCATCCCCAGGCACTGCAATCATATGTCCCGAAAGCCCATCGGTGACAGCAAGGAGTAAGGGTGCTTCTCAGCAGAGCTTCTCTTCAAGGGAATTCCTCCAGAATGCAGTCCTATTCCGGCGGCTCCTAGGGTTCGTGATTTCTTTTCCATCTTCAAGCCGCCTATGCCATGTTTATCACTTCCGCCAATTCTCATGAAATATTGCAAACACACTTCAAAATGTTGAAAGTAAGGGAAAGATAAGGGAACGGAACTAAGCAGGATTTTTCTGCAGGTTTGGAGTGTTATATATTACCAGATAAAATGAAGAGCGTCCCCCACAATGATAATATCCGGTATGTGATATTGAAATTTATGATAAAATCACTCTGGACAATATCATTTTCACATTGGTAGGAATCCATTGAAACGATGTCTTACCTCTGCAGTCTCTTTGGCAGTCTGTGAGTGTTCCCCCATTTCTGTAATGACCTTCAATGAAGCATGGGTTTGAATAACACTTTCTTGGCGTTCCTTGCACTAGTGCCTCCCTGGAATGGACGTGCACAATGAATAATACCATATTGAATTATCAAGTTTCATTCCCTTGTTAATACTTCTTATGAACATGCCTTGGTTAGTCAGGAGCCAAGTCAGGAATCTGCTTCGTATCGCTTGTCTCAAATTAATTAAGTGAGCCTCTTGTCACGCGTCACCGAAAACCACTGCACTAGGAGTTCGTACCGTTTCCTGCAAGAGGGATTGTTGGAAAGCTGTGGGACACAATGTTGATGAAATAGGAGGGGAAGAAGGATAATGCAAGGTGGCTGTGTCAGAAGTGCCAGGATGACGAACACACGCCAGTTTAGGGCTGGCTTATCACTCGTCTCATGTAAGATTAGCCTCCAGAAAGCAAACTCATCTCATGGACACATGGTCGCACTCTCTCTCACCCTGATCAGACCTGATCGAGGGCAAGAGTTAAATATTGCATCAGACTCCATACATGTACTGTCATTCTGGCTCATAAGATGATGCTAAGTACGCCGGACCAATAAGCTGGACAGCTGCTACGAAAGGTCTAACAGTTGGCACTAAGTCGAAATTGAGTGTAGGGCACTCCGACTAATACATTTATTAAAACTAGCATTACCCATGATGTTGTGACGGTACCTAGACATTGGTTAAATGGAGTTGAGATGCACATCAACAATATTGTATGCTGCGCAAGACGATAACCGATTTCCACCCCTCCTTCCGTCCACCCACCAGCCCAACCCCCCAGCCTCCCCACACCTCCTCCGTCCCCAACCCCCCCTCCCCCTTCTCCTTCACCCCAGAACAGCCGCGAAAGTTCCACTGTCGCCCCCCCACTCTCCTCACCGCTCCCCGCCCCTCCTCACCGCCCCCCCCGCCCTCTTCGCCCGCCCATCCCCACCTCTCCCCAGGAAGTACGAACGTACGTAGGGACGTGCAGCTTTCGTATTATATGTTTAAAAGTAGTATAGATAAACTAAAGGCCTGAAATAAGCAATGTCTTTGAATCTATGAAAACTGCCTGATAGCATAAAGATCTATCGTTCTTCCTTATCATCATCATACATGGCCTATTTTGAAAGGATGCATTGCCTAAGCAATGTGCAATTTCGCATTCCATTAACGGGGCACCGCTTGGTGCTGCATTGAGAGACTAGCATGTTGTGTATTGTATAATAATGAGTTGATAGTCCTCGTCCGCTGAAAAAAATTGCATTCCTGGTCCAAATCCGTTTAGGGCTTTTCTGATGTTTCCCAGAACATTATGGCCACATGTGAGAATATTCCAGGTTGACGCAAAATACGAAAACATGATGTCGGAGTTCGGTTTTCTCGCACATAAGAAGACAACTTCATCGCTCTTTCTTTGCTTGCGGCAATGCAAAAGTTATATTTTTACAAAGGAGGAGGAAAAGTGGAATTTTGTTTGGTTCGAAACTACCGTATCCGATCCGAAGAGATTGGGAGTAGTGACACAGAAATTCACGGAACCCCATTTCTTATTTGCTAAAAATTGAAACGTAAAAATATTAAATGGAAGAATGTGGACTCGGTAATTCGAACTAGGCAGAATAGAGATTTTCGAATGGTTTCATCCCATGAGAACATTCTTCAATGGTCTTTCCATTAAACCCTGGTTTGTTTATGGTCATGTCTCATTTATGCAGGATCGGAATATCCGGACTGCTCTGATTCGATTGAAATGTCGCTGTCTTCCCATCTCAACATGTACCATATGCTCCATTACACGAACCACTCCATTACAAGAAACACTCCATTAAACGAAGTCAATAGTGCAGGGCGGTTGCGCCTTTTCCTTTCTGTTATCTAGACCAGACGCCTCTCCCTGCTTTATCTTACAGTCATACTGTCACTCGCGACTCAAATTCCCGAGTTTTATTGTGAACTCTGGTTCTCCCATCCCCTCCTCGATCGCGCGACGTGTCAGAACCCTGTGCGAAATCGTCGATGATGTCTTCGATGTAACTAGAGTCGTATCGGTCATAGTACAAGTTGCATCTGAGGATAGCAGTTTTTTAATGCAATTTTCCTGATTTTGAAAATGAACCATCGCATCGGAAAAAGGGGATGATGTCTCCCTGCTGAATGAGTGGGAGGGCTCGTAGCAAAGGAGAAATTCATAAGAAACACCAATACGCACTCACGAGGACTTGGGTTCACATATTCTAGAGGGAGAATACCATATGTAGATCAGTCATAAAACGGAAGCCGCTGGATCAGATAATGCGATATCATTTCCATAGCAGCTGCCAGATCCATAAGACAGCATAACGTTTACTGTATGGAAGGGAGAACGAGCTGGTGAAGCCAGATTACTTGTATTTTGCCATCAACCTATGTAGGAGACGCATACACTATCACACACATGCACGTACTTGCACACACGAACATACGCGCACCCATTTATGGACACACACCCAAGCCAAGGTCACTTTCATGCAAGATAGCATTGTCCACGTCCGCTCGTTCCAGCACTTCCACAAAATAAGTGAGTTCAAAAATATGCATTTTAACACAGACACTTGGGTGGAATTTGAGCGAAACACGAATGGGGGCAAGACATACGCTGAGCCCATTCTAGTCGTTGACCCCATGATCCAACAGCCGCCAGCGCGGGATCAACTTTCCTTTGGCAGGGGGGCAAGACCCTTCCAAGGGGCTTGGCGCGTGAAGGCATCTTTCACTCGCCGTGGAAGTAACTACGCTACTGAATGCGTCACTGCGAACTCTTCGACCATTCTCCCTTGGACACTGGCGGAGGTCGTATCTCGATGAGGCTCTGTCCCTCGCTCTGACTCCGCCACAGCTCGGGCAGCATCATACGAGGTACATTTGATGCACGTTCGATCCGCGTCATCAGGATAGGGGATATTCGGAGGATATACTTCGCCTGGCTAATGCTGCATTAGATGGCTAATGCTCCGGGCATTAGTTAGTTTCTCTTTATTCGACTCTCTTTCGCTTCTTTTCGTTGCGTTCTTTTTTTGTTTCATCTTGTTTAACTGCTGCTTCTCTTGAGCACATGAGGAAGGCAGACTTTTCCACCGAAAGACAAAGAATACCGAATGTACAACTATTATTTTGAATATGGAGTTCAGTCTCGCAGCTATGGACACCGGATAAGGTTGTGAATACTCTGCTGTCATGTCATCTCAACTCACAAATATAAAAGTCTCAATGAACGTCAGTTCATCAGTCGTCAAGTGAATTCAATGAGCAATATCATTGTCGATACGACGATCTCGCCAACCGCGTTCAAAAAACCAGATTCCAGACCTGATAGGACGTGGGGCCACGAGACGGTCAAGGGATACGCTCGTCTCCACCCGGAAACCTTGACACTCTTTTCTGAGACTCATTATCTTCCCGTAAATATTTTTTGCTGAAGAAATAGTAATATTCTGCCCCCACCATAACAGCAGAAGAGAATACCGAGCAGGGCAGTAATCTCGTTGTGGAACAAAAAATATTTTTTGGGTAGATGTTGCTTTTCTGTACCCCCCCCCCTCCCCTAGTTCGGCTACGGGAGGAAGAGGGAATAAGCGCAGTCATTTAGTTGCAATCCAATTTTAATTATGTTCCCTGGAAGATTTTCTCAAGTGCCCGGTATCAATGCCGTGTGTGGGACCATGACTTCCCGCATAATTTACCTTTCTATTAGAAGAAAATGACAACCATCCTATAGAAACTCGTCCTCCGCTCACTCCGGATGCGGTCGTGAAGATCAACAGAAGGAATCGCTCCCCGGCTGCAAAGCAGCTCTGGGAGACGCCTAAAGCAAACGCGAGTTTGATCGTTCCTGCATGAATGATCACCTGCAAGTTAAGTAAATGCGATTCGTGAAATTTTCGTAAATCTGCTAGCGATGAAAACCCATTTATGGTATCATAGAAATCTTCCGTTATCATAAACCCATTCGGCGGAAACAAGTTTACTTAGAAATTATTTTATTGCAATTAGCAAGACACGGCATCCATGCAAATAAGAAACTAGAAATACAAATATACGCAATCGAGTGGAAACAATGATCAGATTATGGACTGTGAGAATTGTGAGAATTAACTCATATGATCGTTCAAAGTTAGTATTACTCCAGGTTCACTCGTCCCCACAGAGAGACATGCGTTATAGTATTATGATATGGCATTAGGGAGTGTCACCGCTGGAATCCTCAAGTAAAAAAAAATCCTCAAACTTATTTCCTGGCCTTGTCACGATCGATCGATGAAGTCTAACTACTTTGTATCACACCGATGGAAGTATAAAATGCGCAGAATCCGTATAGTTCGTTCCATTTCCAGGGAATGAGGTCTTTCAGGCCTACCCGAGATGCGATCCCGGCCAGTCGCAACTCAGTCGCCTCTCTCCAACTGCTTTGGATGACTCAGCCTGACCGAGAGGAATCAGTTCAGCGTCCTTTCAAGAAGCAGGCGAAATGAAGAACAAGGTGGCTATAGATCTCGGGGCGAGGGGGAGGGTGGCGGAGATCCAGTTCGAAGACGAAGCGGAGGGAACCTTCGGGGTCGGCCCCATCACCGTCAGATTCCTCAACAGATTCTCCGGACACGTGAGTGAGATTTCGATTTTTGGCCTTCCTAGCAGCTGTCAGGATTCGAAAATGCGGAGGTCAGGATCCTTTGACTCATGAGTCAAACATGGTTCATGGGTTCATTGACCACGGGCGGGAAAAATGCAGTTTTAAAATTCACATTTCGAGTGAAATTCATTTACCAATCACTGAAAGTTTCCCCGACTTACCATTCAGCAGTTTTGACTCATGTGATTTCAGTGAAGTTCCACAATTTCTTCAAAGGGTTCTTAAAATTTGCGTCATTGCGTTTCTCTGCTGTTCGGTCGGAAGTTGTGATTAGGCTTTCATGCCCAACTTAGCTAGCGATATCGTGGCAGTAATGAAGGCTATTGCTTACTGAAGGCTATTACTACTGCAATGGAGGCCATTACTCACGTTCATTATATCGAACGGAAGCACTTACTTGGGCCTCCAATTTTCGGCAAAACGAAAGAATTTAAAGTTTTTGTTCATCCAGATTTTGTACTCGGTCAGTGGGTTTTGTCATTCTGAGAAAGAAGGTAAGGCCTTTAGTGCTCCGTTTGGCGTTCGAAGGTAGCCTTCATTCAAACTTCATGAAACAGGGCGAAGCAAATGATATACAAACGAGTTCCCCTTCCTAGGTGATTCAAGATAACACACCTCTTCATAGAGAAAATCAATTTTCTCCCTTATCTTCTGCTGTTTTCTCACTTTCTACGTCATTAATGCTAGGCCGCTTAGCCAGTGAAAGTTATAATTGTGTTTGTCAATGGGGGGCATTCTGTTCAGAAATAAAAGGTTCATGATAAGATTCCGTGCCTTTTGTTCGGCCCCACAAGCTGTCTTCCATGAAGTCAGTTCACCCTTAAGTCCAGAAACACGCTTCGACACTGCTATATACGACAAGGACCAACGCACAATGACAGCTAACACGATGGACAAGTCGCATCAAACCAGTCAATCGCACTAACAGTCGCTTATGGCAATTGGGCGAGCTACAGAGGGAAATGCCAACAAATTCAGTCCCAGGTTTCAAAATGTTTCTGCGCCTAAACCAATTGAAGTTAAATTTAGGAAGTTTTCTTATGGATACAGGTCACTGATGCATTTATCCTGGAATGTACATAACTGAATCACTGAATGACTTATTGACAATTTGTTCAAAAATTTGCGCGTTTTTCCATCTGCACCATAATTTTTTTTCTTGTCCTTCGAATGCGTTGCGATTGCTGGTAGGTGTGGGCTCCATGGGGGGAGGGGGGGAGGGAGGAGCTGCAAACAATGTCATAGGCCAAAGCTACCATGTAAATCCTTCGATGGCGTGTATGTCTTCGTTCAGGCACTGGGTCGTTCTGCATTCTCGGATTCCTCATGGCTCAGAAAACTGTTCTGGCTTGTTGTCTTCTTCATCGCTTTAGGCTATATGATATACGGAATCATAGACACCTTGGACGTCTACATGTCTGGACCAACGATGACAACGACAAAGGTAGAATCGCAGAAATCACCCTTGTAGATATATTTCTAATAATTAATTTTTGGGTGAATGCTTGGGACCCTGATGTCGACTCTGAACGCAGATGGAGGTGAAGGAAAGTCTCCCGTTCCCAGCCGTCACGATCTGCCCCAACACGCCTCTTCTGAAAAACCTGAGCGACGATCCGAACATCTCCCCTGTCCTTCAGCCGCTCTTGAAGATCAATGAAGCATTTGAGAGGATGCTCAAGGCGCTGCTGTTGCGGGAGGAATCATGGAATCAGCCGGCGGCAGGCGGGGCCTCTCTCGTTGAGGATACGGTATACAAGAAGGACTCGAACGGGATGCAGGAGACTTGCGTCAAACCTTTTGCCGAATTGTCCCGTGAGTCCCTTTCCAAAGCATCTCAGCTACCATAGGATAAACCACTACCCTCTCCTATTGTCACGAGTCCATAATACGTATCACATATTTTCTGAAGATAGCATTGGGAAAACTGGGGGCATTGAAAAAAACGTGGGATTGGGATATGAATGCCGAAATTGTTCGTTTGCGATACGCTCATGAAAAAAACACGTAACATTGATTGTTCTTTGTGCACAACAGCCGTAGCCCCATCGCTTTCGCTTTCCATGGAAAGTGCCCCACTACGCCTTAACTAATGTTACGGTCATAATCTTCCTAATTCCCGGTCATAATCTTACAGGAAATAGGACGGGTTTGAATCCTTCTTTTTAACACGAACTCTCCTGAAAAGAGAAGTAAATAGAACTCCTGATCACATTTTCATGTGCCCTGAACGGAATCCGATTCACTCAGATTAATTATCCCTGTTATTTCCCATTACTTTCTTGGGCATTGCTTTTTTTTCCTTTTTACTGTGCACCGTTGCTTTATTTCCTCGTGAACTGTTGACGACATTTATCTTATTCCCATCCCTTTTAGTTCTTTCTTCACCGGACAGGAACCTATCGTATTTCCTGCGCAGTTTTCTCCAATATCTATTAAATAAATTACTACGATGTTTGCACTCCCCATGACATGACAGCGGAAATTCCATATATTCGTAACCTACAGGTATTTAATGCACTATGACGCATCGAGCGTTTTCCTACGGCTTATGGCGATTTCGGGGGCATGTTTGACTGGCATTGAAGCGGGAAGGCCACCGATGAACATAGTTGTTGAATCCATTGACCAAGGGCCTTGAAAGACGTAAGATTCGAGAATAGTTATATTTCAAGTGGAATTCGTTCCTGGTAAAACGAAGCATACACGCGGAATATTCAGGGCATGAAATTGGCGCATTGGGTGGTGAAAATATCCGTTGTCCTTTTAATGCGCTTTCATCGCGTAAAGTTTTCGCATCAATATTTATTCATTATCAAAAGTCTTCAAATTGGTTCTGTGAGCATATCTCCCGCATGTGATGCATTTCGACCTCGTTCTCCATGCCATACCCAAATACTGTTGCCCCCAGGGGATGGGGGGGGGATAGAAATTGAATATAAAAAGAATGTCGCTCGTCATAAGGGATGTGTGGGTTGCTAGCAGAAAGAAATCAAGTTTCGATACATATACTGCATTTACCTTGACGTTGTCATCTCATCTCCGAAGTTCCCCATCTATAGCGGCTCGACGGGTCAAGTGATGCATGCACTGAAATCTGCTGTTAAAAAAAAGATTCTTGTGATTGCTCACACCCCAAGAAGAAAAACATTTTCTTTTTTCAAGTGACTGTTCAAAGGCAATGGAGAAGACTCCATTTTTTAAATGGAAAAACTCAAATATGAATGTGTAAAGGCGGTATCTTGATAGTTGAGGTAATAATGATTAGGTAGGTAAAGAGGTAAGCCACGTACTCGAATGTCAGACGAACCTAATGTGTGAGTTGCACCGGCTTTGATGCTTAAAGCTCTACCGACAAAAATTATAGCACCATGAATACAAGAAACCGTATGCAAAACGGAAATAAACTCAAGAAAAGGTAGAACGTGATTATATAAGACTCTCTTCGAGACGCACGAACTACTCGCACTAGCCGGAGTGAATACGACAGGGCGAAAGATCCATGCAAAATCTCTGGCTTGTGGGTCAATCTCTCAGCAGACAATGCAGTGCCCCGAGGGTTTATCAAGAGACCACAGGATGAAGTGGAACACGATGGTTGACCTGCGTGGTCAAACCACCCCTCTCGTCTCGCCTGTGAACGCACTTCGGTTTTGCGGATGCCTTCCAGGCGACCAGGCATGACAGAAGTGACTGATTTGAATCGAAACTTCGATTTATACCTTTTTTTCTCGAAAATAATAAATTAACGTACAAAATTTAACCTCTATATATTATTTAGATAATTTTCTGTCTTATCTGGATAAACATGAGAAAAATTCAAATATAAAAATGGACATGAGACACGAAATGTTAGAAATACAAATTAAATAACATTTATAGCCCGGAAAAGGTAAGGTTTGACGTGTAAATAATTTTTTCGGCTTTTTTCTACATTTTCAAATGTAAAATGGGCATTTTCAGGAATCAATGTCCCGAGGGCGAAGATGCAACTCCAGAAATTGGTCCAATCCAGTAATTACACACTGGAGGACTTCCGGGAAGATTCGAGAAATTACTGGAGAAACTATGTTCTTGACGTCTCTAACTCGATGCGCTACTGCACTTTCAATAGGATTCCTTGCAGCGTAGGGTAAGAGCAAATTCTTTCTCCAGCTGATATTCCTTTTCCAGTCACTGTAAATCCTCAAAAATAACCATCTAGTATCCGCCATATTTATGGGGAAATGAATTTCTCTTCTGAGGGGATATTGCACAAATACTAAACCATCTGGCACTTCTTCAAGATGTTATGCGATGAAATTCTTAACAATATACTGTTCTGCTCTTTTTACGAAATATTTTACATTTCAGTGACTTGAAATACTCGCCAACGAAAACATATGGAAGTTGCGTGACCTTCAACCCCAACGCAGACAAACTCGTCCAGCGTCCGGCCACAGACGATTTCATGAGGAACAATGGATATGGCTCCAGAGATCCGGAATTCTTCAAGGGCACGAAGCCTTCGGTGAGAAATGTTAAAACCTTAGACTTACCACAACAAATGACATCCATTCTCCTTCCTGAATCGGACAGGAGGGTCTTCAACTGGTTCTGACATCGTACGCCTCGAACAGCGTGCTTCTTCTCTCGGGAGCCGAGGGGTTCAGGCTTGGAATTCATCATTCTAATGGCAATTCCGATCCTTTCGAGCAAGGATTTGATGTGAACTTCCAAAAGGTTTCAAACGTTGGGATCCGGATGGTGGAGTTCGAGCGATTGCATCCCGACGCTGGAGGGGATTGTGCCATGGATTCTTACCTCATCGAGCGATTCGACCCTAATATATTTAATGTTCCCAGTGGAACGAAATATTCCAAGGAGGTGCATGATGATTTCTCGCTTAATCCACACATAGACATCCCTAATCCTTGACCACGTGTTTTTCTGTTCCCTTATGCGCCAGCTTTGTTTGGACATGAGCTTTAGCCGTCGCGTAATGCAGGTCCTTGAAGACGGCCAAGACTGCCTCCTGAAGGAACGCTATGCTCTTCTTCTGAAGGCAGACGGAAGCACGTCCCATGAATGCAATCTAACACGTAAGAAGATGTGATGCCAATTCATGTAATACAAATTAACTCCTCCTTTTTTATTTTTTGCGATGTGTTTTTATTATGTTAGTTTCACCCTCATGAAGGGAAAGAGAGTGTTCCATGGACTCCCTTTGCCCGGATGAGGGCAGATAAACCTGTCTTTCTATATATAGTATGTTTAAAAAAATACATTTTACTTATTTTCTATGAGGGATAGTTAATACTCATTCCCATGGGAAAAAAAAATCAGACCATGCTTTTTCTAACTCCTGCCTATTTTCTTAAAGGTAGAAAATCTTGAGAATGAAGCAGCAAAGGCTTCTGCTGACGAGAAGATTAATAATGTTGGTTATGCATTATTGCTAACATGTGGGATTTGCCTTTTGGTGTCTGATTCACTCCAAAGAATAAGGATTGGTTCTACCTCGCTAGAATGATACACATTTTACTTGAGTTTCTGATATGAGGGCACGAACACTCGTATATTTCCTCACGTTACTCTTCCCCCTGGATGAACATGCATTGAAGATTGCAAAGCCATTACTAAATCTGAACTATTAGAGCACTTAATCTATCTCTTCGTGACTCCTCCAACGTACCTGCTCTGCCTACACTTCTAGCAGCACAGAACGCATGACTTTATGGTTACTTTACTCATTGGTTATTGCAGAAGAGTTCTAAGGAAACGAAGGAATTTATTTTGATTGTAAATTCAAAATATTTCATTCAGTCAAAAAATTAGGAAGGTTCAATGGAGTTTAGTTTAGCTTCCTATAGACTGATCTTGACCAGTATCTTAATTATCCTAATTAGGCATCTTTTAATATACAATGCCTGGGAATTAATTTTTGCTCTGTCATATTAGTCATTAAGAGTAAATTTGAATTAAAGAAAAAGTCATATTTAAATTTTTATGGATTTTCATTTTCATGAGAATACCTCTAAGAAGAAAATTGTCATTTCCTCGTAGAAAAATGATGATATGGCTATTTAAAGGTCTCCATATTCTGTAAATTTGCTGCGCTACTGATTGATAGTCGTGAAAGGTCAATTATAAAATATTTTCGTCAAAAAGGGAGAAAAATTAAAACGAGCCAAGAGGGACTGGCGTGGTTTTCCACCTTGCTTTTGCCCCACAAAATACTTAACCCGTAATGGGGTAACTGATAAGAATGCACACGAAACCTGAAATATTCCATTTTTCTCTTTGAGCATAATAGGACTTTCTCCACAAATTTCATTTTTTTTATTCCCTTCACTGAAATTTGAGGCTATGGGAAAATCACGGACAAAATCATTGGTGAGGTCCGAGGAGGAGACTACTGTCCTGCGAAGGCTTGCACGTAAATCTCACAATTTGTCTTGAGTCTTGATCTATTAAAATGCCACAACTAAACGGTTGCATATATTTCAGACAGGAGAAATTTGAATGGTCATTGTCGACGGCCCAGATGAGTCGCGAGACTGTGCTGCTCCTGAATCTCATCGATTGGATGAGGAAAAACAAGGATTTAAACGAAAGCGAGCTGATGAACACTCCATTCTGTCACCATCTCAAGTACGCTAGTTCACATTCGTCATTAACCAAATAATTATTAAATAAGTATGACATGGTAATGAAAAAAGTCCTATATGCTTTTCTCTTTCATTTTGTTTGAATATGTCACTACAATCGTTTCATTGGAACAATGCCATGCAGGATACAGGATACGGTTTTGATGCCATTCGACACTGTTGGGAGAAATACCAANGGAACAATGGATATGGCTCCAGAGATCCGGAATTCTTCAAGGGCACGAAGCCTTCGGTGAGAAATGTTAAAACCTTAGACTTACCACAACAAATGACATCCATTCTCCTTCCTGAATCGGACAGGAGGGTCTTCAACTGGTTCTGACATCGTACGCCTCGAACAGCGTGCTGCTACTCTCGGGAGCCGAGGGGTTCAGGCTTGGAATTCATCATTCTAATGGCAATTCCGATCCTTTCGAGCAAGGATTTGATGTGAACTTCCAAAAGGTTTCAAACGTTGGGATCCGGATGGTGGAGTTCGAGCGATTGCATCCCGACGCTGGAGGGGATTGTGCCATGGATTCTTACCTCATCGAGCGATTCGACCCTAATATATTTAATGTTCCCAGTGGAACGAAATATTCCAAGGAGGTGCATGATGATTTCTCGCTTAATCCACACATAGACATCCCTAATCCTTGACCACGTGTTTTTCTGTTCCCTTATGCGCCAGCTTTGTTTGGACATGAGCTTTAGCCGTCGCGTAATGCAGGTCCTTGAAGACGGCCAAGACTGCCTCCTGAAGGAACGCTATGCTCTTCTTCTGAAGGCAGACGGAAGCACGTCCCATGAATGCAATCTAACACGTAAGAAGATGTGATGCCAATTCATGTAATACAAATTAACTCCTCCTTTTCTATTTTTTGCGATGCGTTTTTATTATGTTAGTTTCACCCTCATGAAGGGAAAGAGACTGTTCCATGGACTCCCTTTGCCCGGATGAGGGCAGATAAACCTGTCTTTCTATATATAGTATGTTTAAAAAAATACATTTGACTTATTTTCTATGAGGGATAGATAATACTCATTCCCATGGGAAAAAAAATCAGACCATGCTTTTTCTAACTCCTGCCTATTTTCTTAAAGGTAGAAAATCTTGAGAATGAAGCAGCAAAGGCTTCTGCTGACGAGAAGATTAATGTAGGTTATGCATTATTGCTAACATGTGGGATTTGCCTTTTGGTGTCAGATTCACTCCAAAGAATAAGGATTGGTTCTACCTCGCTAGAATGATACACATTTTACTTGAGTTTCTGATATGAGGGCACGAACACTCATATATTTCCTCACGTTACTCTTCCCCCCGGATGCTGGACTAAACATGCATTGAAGATTGCAAAGCCATTACTAAATCTGAACTATTAGAGCACTTAATCTATCTCTTCATGACTCCTCCAGCGTACCTGCTCTGCCTACAGTTCTAGGAGCACAGAACACATGACTTTATGGTTACTTTTCTCATTAGTTATTGCAGAAGAGTTCTATGGAAACGAAGGAATTTATTTTGATTGTAAATTCAAAATATTTCATTCAGTTAAAAAATTAGGAAGGTTCAATTGGAGTTTAGTTTAGCTTCCTATAGACTGATCTTGACCTGTATCTTAATTATCCTAATTAGGCATCTTTTAATATACAATGGCTGGGAGTTAATTTTTGCTCTGTCATATTAGTCATTAAGAGTAAATTAGAATTAAAGAAAAAGTCATATTTAAATTTTTATGAATTTTCATTTTCATGAGAATACCTCTAAGAAGAAAATTGTCATTTCCTCGTAGAAAAATGATGATATGCCTATTTAAAGGTCTCCATATTCTTAAATTTGCTGCGCTACTGATTGATAGTCGTGAAAGGTAAAAAAATTATAACATATTTTCGTCAAAAAGGGAGAAAAATTAAAACGAGCCAAGAGGGACTGGCGTGGGTTTTCCACCTTGCTTTTGCCCCACAAAATACTTAACCCGTAATGGGGTAACTGATAAGAATGCACACAAAACCTGAAATATTCCATTTTTCTCTTTGAGCATAATAGGACTTTCTCCACAAATTTCATTTTTTTATTCCCTTCACTGAAATTTGAGGCTATGGGAAAATCAAGGACAAAATCATTGGTGAGGTTCGAGGAGGAGACTACTGTCCTGCGAAGGCTTGCACGTAAATCTCACAATTTGTCTTGAGTCTTGATCTATTAAAATGCCACAACTAAACGGTTGCATATATTTCAGACAGGAGAAATTTGAGACCAGTAACAGCTGCCGGGTCTACTCAGCGCTCTGACACGACGAGGACTTAGAGTAGCTAACCTACTCCTTTTTGTTCCTAAATTTGCTTTCGCTCGACTACTTGTGAGGTAAGACAGTGGTAGAGTAGTACGCTAGTTCACATTCGTCATTAACCAAATAATTATTAAATAAGTATGACATGGTAATGAAAAAAGTCCTATATGCTTTTCTCTTTCATTTTGTTTGAATATGTCACTACAATCGTTTCATAGGAACAATGCCATGCAGGATACAGGATACGGTTTTGATGCCATTCGACACTGTTGGGAGAAATACCAAGTCAAAATGATATTGATGCTAATCAGAAGGCACATGCATTTTTAAATACAAGTGTAATATTCAATAGTGAGTAAGGGAAATTAATATCATGCGTCCTTTTATCTGCAAGCATCTGACAATATTCAATTTTCCACCTTCAACATGACGATGGCAATACGACTGCAACATTGGTTGAATAATATGGCGCAGTCAGCTCATAGGTGTACATAATTTTTCTCAGAGAGAATTTCGCCTTGGTGAACGTTTACTACCAGAGCATGGCGGTGGAGAAAGTTGTAGAGACTCTCATGTACCCAGTGAGACAAATATTTCACAGACTCTGAAAATTGTCTAAAATTTACGGCAACTAGATCTGGAACTTATTTTTTCGAGCAGTGGTCGAACTTCATTGGCACGTTGGGAGGCTTGATTGGACTCTACATGGGATTCTCCATGATCTCCCTCCTGGAAGTACTGGAGTGGATTATGGACATGCTCCTTTACGGTTGGAGGAAACCTCGGAACGACAGGATGGGACCGAAGCGAAGTGTCATCATCACCTGTGAGTCCGACAGAATTTCACTTGTGAAGGGCAATCAATACATTACGGAGCATTATCTCTTGGTCCCACTCTGTCAGGGAATGACACCCTGGAAACGGACAGGGATATTGGAGACGGGGGACACTCTGAATGAAGTCCGTTCTTGAGGAGATCCAACTGTCAGCACTCGTCAATCACTGGCGGAAACCTTAGTATGCTGGATTCAGGATTTGCTCTGCTCTTTCAGGTAGATTACATCTGTAAATATATCTATACCTATTTGTCATATTCACTCGTAATAACTGTGTTTCGCGTCATTGCTATATCTCGAGCCACGGACGACTCTTATTTCAGCAAAACCACTCATTGACATATTTACATTATTCATGTACGTGATATTCAGGGTATTTATGGATGTATGATGTGCAAATGAGTAGGTGTTGTCTCAGCTATACGGGAAAATATTATTTATTTTTGGTTTTATTTTCCTACACTTATTGAAAGCATTAAAGTACCCACGTGATGAAGCACTTCGTTTCTTGTTATTTCCTCACCTAGTTCATTCCGCCTTTTTCAGACCAACCCAACACCCATATCCAAACGGTCTTCCGAAACGTCGTTCAAGACTCAGGAACGAAAAACTGGAATGACATTTGAATTCTCCCTCTTCCCTCTTCATGATGCTTCTATCTTAGTTTGGTTCCAGACAATGCAATTCTCCCCATGAAATTTTCATGAATGCTAATGCGACCATCCATTCTTGCTCAATTGATGCATTCGAAGTAGGACGGTCGTAGGTTGACTATAGACTGACAGTTGTATACGCTCAACAGGGTCCGAAAAGATTATCGATTCGGCCCATAACTGGAAATTACCAACATTTTCTGAGAGGTAAGACTATAATATTCGTGTTGTGCCGCTGACAGCTCGGGTTTTACAAGGAGACAATGAATGAAAATCGATGCAAGCATTCCCTTTGAAAGAGGACTTGTCAAACAGATTGTAACTTAAAGAATGGTCTTCAACAGAACATCGATAGTACTTCGCAGTAGGTCAGTAGCTCCTCGTAGGTAGGTTTCTTCCTATTATATGTGTGATTCCCCACCATTCAAGTCCAATCCTTTTCATCAATTTTCTTGAAAGGTCTCTGTCCATCACATGCATTGACTCAATCATAACAACGTATAATACAAAAACAATTCTTTTAAACAAATTGTTTAATGAGTCGATTACTCGGGAAAGGCAGAATCGCCATGAGATGGCATAGCCGCGATAGGAAAGTATATATGTGCAAATCTCTCCAAGGGCACTGCGTATCTAAGGCCCCACATTAGTTTAAGGTACGGCTACCCAATGGGGGAAAAATGACTCTAGCTGCTTATTGCGTGTCGAGGACTTGAGTATTCTCTGACATGTTCTCTCAGGAAGTTTTTTTTGTCGGTTCCCCCCTTTAGTTTTGGTCGGCTTTTTTGTTATGTCCCGAGCGTAAGACCAACTGGACTTGCATGAATATGCAGGTTCCACTCTTTCCCAAATGAATTTTATTATGGAATACACCTGAAATGAGCAACGATGGTGACTTCAAGCTCAATCTCGTCAATCTTGCATTCGACCGAGGGATGATGTTTAACTGCTTGTGACTTAAAATTTTCCTTAGAGAAACAACTTTTCAAAACCCTTGTATTACGGATGCAAAAAGGCGTACAATGTTCCATTTACATTTATTAAACTCGATTGACATAGACGGTCATGAATTTACATGTTCCATCCAACTGCAATAGCATAGATAACAAAATGTTATTAAGAGGACTCTTCAGGCATTTCTGATGCTTCTACTCCTTTGAAATCTACTGGAACTACCGAAATGCATTTAAAAGTTCATTAATTATTATTTTTGAAGGTGTCACGATAAGAAAAAAATCATGGGATTTTTCAGGTTCATCAGGTTCATCGGTTTAGAGGTGCAGGACGCAAATTAATACTTGGAGCACGATAATTCAGCCGAAGATCCACCGATTGAAGCGTTTAAAAGTGAAGGTTCCATAACTGTTAAATGAGGAAAGAATTGCTAAGACGGTCTTTCAATTTGTTCCATCGTTTGATAAAAAAGACCCAGTAAGAACAAATTAAACGTTGAACTTAAAGAGAGACTGAATTTCCAGTCAGGTCAGATGAGAAGACCAAGATGTGGAATGTGCAATTGTTTGCCAAGGAATGAAAAGTAAGGAAAAACTGACATCATTATCACTTCAAAAACTGACTTCCACTAGGAGACATCGGACACTTGCCCAAGTCCGCTCCCCTTCAACCTTAACAACATCTTTCACAATGCCACCAGGCGTGTTACATTGTGTTTAAAGCCTTATTGAAATGTAGACTTTCTCCATTTCTCAAGAATATCCGGCTTGATCCAGATTTTACCTCTTTGATGCTTCCTTTGAGGCTTTATTAATGTACCGTTTAACCTTGATCAGAAACACGAACGCGGTTGAACGACATCGGACTCATTAATTATTTTCATCCAAGGGAGCGCGAACCTTCACATCTACTCATCGATCAATGTCATCGACACTCCCGATATCACACCAATGACGTCACTTAGACATGGTAAACTAAAAGCCATCCCAATCATAGTGAGGCGCAAGGTCTTACGCTCCGCAACGAAGCAATAAGAAACTCTGAACGAAGACATTTAGAAGAGAAGTGTATCTTTGGGAAAATCTTAGGTGAAGATGGTGGACATCACTGAGGAACTCGAAGGTATTGCATATTTTTGTATTGAGCTTTTATTGGATAAATTAGTCATTAAATTTGTAAAAGCCAGAACTAAAATTCCCTTTTAATAGGCAATAGGCATATAGTCATGCGAACTAAAGTTCGTTTGACTACATGCCTCACACCGGTTGTAAAATACTTCGACAGTGACAATGCAAGGATGGCCTAACGTTATCACATTCGAAGGTCAAGCAATCTCAGCAAAGGCAGGCCTTGAACTTTAGGTTCACTCGAGAAATTGGAGGGAATCCCATAGGAACGAATGATGACTAGGAGCGATGAGCCCAACAATTATGACTTTCAGGCACGCATGCCTACAGGGTTGTGCAAAAGTTCCCGTACACTTTTATTAGCGCTTCGATTCTCTCTAGGCTTCATAGCTCCAAAGAAAAAAATATCAAATAAAGACTGAAATTCACTATAATGGGAAAAATTTCGTATAAAAAATGTCCGTAGAATTAAAAAAAACGCTCATCAGAATCTCCAAAAATCCGTTGATTAGTGAATAAAATAGATTTTCAAAGTATACGGGAACCTTTGCACAACCCTGTATACTATGGGTGCGCCATCTCCAGCTCAGTGGCTCTCCATAGCCATAGTAGCAGGTTCACGCAGTGTGGCATGAGGCCAATAACGTTTGGAGACGTGCGCGGCGGGTAGCGATGTGAGTAGCGTGAGGTCACCAATAAAAGCCCACATACCACATTTTCCTAGAGGTGACGACTTAAGGAGACGCCTTGATCTTTGGCTTACCCTTCGTCTTCGCTCGGCGTCAGTCCCCCGCCCTTCCCAATGACGATCAACGAAGCGCAAGGGCAGAGAGAGAAATTAGGGGTGCCTTTACCGAGGCCTGTCTTCTCACATGGCCAGCCAGGGGGCAGGTGGGCGGGAGTGTGGCGACCCCTTTCCATGGTCATGTGCGCCTTCTGCGCCTTTAAATATTCAATACTTCCCTGCTTTTGCACAGGCTACCTACTAATATGTATAGAAAGTCCAGGTCTCATCGACCTGTGATTATCTTCGACATCCGATCAGTGAAGGAGGCGAATGCGAATGGAGTTGAAGAAAAAGATATCACCCCTGCTTCACCATGGACGCCTAAAATCTCAGGATTTCCTGCAGCAAGTGGGAGGCATCATGTTGAGTGATGTCAGCGTTCCCTTGCGATTATAGCAGCAACTCTCGTCTCCTCGTTCTTCCGAGAGATGGCGAGACGAGCGCGAATCCCCGATTTTCCGCGAAAGTTACATTCCCTCCCTTTCCTGAGGCCGATTTGGAAATTTTATTTTGCATTGAAAAGGCACATCCTCGGATGATAAGGAAGAGTTCTGTCGAAACTCCAAGTTCCTGCCACAAAGCGTTTAGCCTGTAGAGTTATAGCACACACACACTCACACAAGCAAACAAAAAAAGAAACAATTGCCTCGCGGCCTAGCAAGCGGCCAGAATCGCGCAAGCTATGTTTACCTCCTCCGGTATGAAAAATGTTGTAGACCGAATAGGACAGAAATGACAGGTGAAACTTGGAACGAGGAAAGATTCGACTTTTGTGTTGCATACGCTTAAGGCAAAGCTTTTGGGTAGTTCGGCTTTTCGAAAGAAATGCTTTAACTAACGAATATAGCCAACAGATTTGGCTGGACCTCGGTAGACATGTAGTTCTCCGAGAACTGATTTTAGTAAATATATCCCATATCTTGCGAAACAAAAGCGAAACCCATCAGCTCAATTTGCATCATTTTATCATTTTTATCCCATTAAAAAAAATTGTAATCCAACGACTAAGAGAACGGTAGAAAGTTTAAACGTTGTGCAGCAAAATGCGGATGAGATTAATGAGAACAGAAAATAAGTTATATTTGAAATATATATTAATAAAAAAATGTTGGCCAGGCGTAATCGGGTGAAAAGAACCCTTGCCCATGCAGTTGGTATGGAAATGCTGCAGGAAACATACTGCATCTCCTATTTTCGGTTACGCATTCTTTTCTCTACGTTTCCCTCAAGGAATTCCAGCGGCAATATGTTCCCCTCTCCTGGAATACCTGCAAATTTAATTTAATTTTAGAAATTTGTCCTCAGGCATACGCATTTATAAAATATAATCATTGGGGCAGCTGCCATCCCTACAGAGGTCATAAGAAGTCATTCATAGTCCATCAAGCTAATCGTGCCTAATTTGATGAGCAATGCAGTAAAGAACGTGGAGAAACAGTCTCCATAGAGGGGATACTCCAGCCAGAAATTCCCAGATGGAAAAGTCCATCAGGTTCACTCAAATTTCCTGAAGTTCTTTTCATTATTGGACAATGCCTCGACCTCCTCCCTACGTAAGTGATACATCGAGAGGAAATTCTCTCTATCAAATTCCACTCACGATATCTCTTGAAAGATAACAACTCTTATCATGGAGAGGAGCTATTTGGTCGTCCGGTTCATATTA